GTTTAAATGAAAAAACAAAACATATTTAGGTGTAATTGTTTGGGGCCGGGAACCAATTCATTGGTCTTCCATTATTTCTTATGGGGAAAATTCGATCAGAACTCAAACTTTTTAGGATTCGATCCGGAGTTCTGAACGGATTAAGTTCGAGTTCTGAGGTACCACTGTAATTTTAATATTTTTATGGAACTGAATTGAATGATAATCTAGAAAAGCCTTTCTCTTTCTCTAGTTGTTACTGTAAGTCTGAATCTTTGTGGCTGTTGTTTAGTGCTAATACTATTATCTGCATTTGTAAATAGCTATATGACTAAATAATGCAAAATGATTTTCTTTCAGTTTGAGTGTGGCCCCTATGGATGCGTTTTGCTTACTGTATCAGCCATTCTTTCCAGATCTGTTGAAATGTAAGTAGAATGTTTTATATTTTAAGAGACCTGAGAATTGCCAAAATCCCACCTTTTAGGATAAATGTTGGGGGCAGCACAGCGGCTCAGTGGGTGGGGCTGTTGCCTCACACTCCCCATGGTCGGGGGTTTGCATCCTGTTATATATTGTAAGCACCTATAAATAGAAACAGTCGAAAGAATTTTGTCTTAATGTGTGCAAACATAATGGTTTCCAATCCTACAGCTTTTCTGCTAGGCTATAAAGTAGCTTTCCTTGATTTCCCTTTGCCCAAATCTTCTGTATTATAGAATGATCCCACATCCATGCCTTTTAAATAGTATATGTGATATATTTAGATACAGAGCTGGCCAGGAGACCATCAGTGCTTGTTTGTTTAGCCTTTGCTGAGCAAACGCTTACCTGGCCCGGATTTTGATTGTCACGTTTTGTTTTTAGCGTCAGAGCGGATTTTGACATGCTGACCAACACCCTCATCGGAGCTCATGGCTACTGTACACAGGTTTGTTTTGATGTAAACACTTGTAGCATTAATGGTCAACAGGAGTAGTACTTACAGAAGTCAAGATCTCTTTCTTACAATCTACTATCTAATGATTGTGATAGTCTGAAATTTTGAAAAACCTATCACAGGAAATATTCTGACTGCACAGCTGTCACACATACTGCACACATGCCTGTAGAATGAAATGAATTTGGAGGTGGGAGGGAAATTTCAAGAGGGGATCTCTATTTTTCTACCTAGCTACATGTCTGGTTGGGAGGGGTTCACACCTGTAATTATACTATGTGGCTACGTGCCTGCATGTCAGTACATTGGGTACTTTCGTAAAGATAACTGTGAGATTTCAAATTACAATTTCATTTCAGATTTATAAGTCATTGTTTTATTTAGGACAGTATGGTGGCTTAGTGATTAGGACTGTTACTACACAGTGGTGGATTGGATTTCTGCCCAGAGCTGCATTTTCACAATCATGAATCTGCCTGGGTTTATCTCCCAGTACTCAGCTTTCCTTCCCGTAGTCCAAAACATGGTTATGTCAGCTTGAAAATCTGGTAAGGCCATCAATTCAAAACCCCCAGTTGAAGGTTAGAATTTAGAAGGAAATGGACTAAAAACTCGTAAAGCATCAAATTGATACACCTGTCCTGTCATTACTACTGTGATATTTCTCCATGTTGAGATCAACCTTAGCTAAAGTCTCAGATTGTTTGAGTGTGAGGTATACTCTGGACAGGCTGACAGTCCATTGCTGGTCACATGCAGACACACAGAAGTTAGAGTTGCTATTTAGCATAACTGCATGTCATTGGGCTGTGGGAGGAAGCTGCCTTACTAAGGAGAAACACACACAGAAGGGCATCAGTGCACACATTCAAAGCTTAAGTGGGATTTGAACCCCCAACTCTGGAGGTATGAGGAAGCTGTGCTAAACCACCATAACTGCTGCTCTCTCTATGTCTTATCAGAAGGATACCTGTGGCCTGTGGAATTTGCCATTTTTAAAAATATCAGTACATTGATTATTTGATATTTGTTTTGTAACTCTTCTCTTTTTAATGATTATAAGCAGCTGCACAATGCATTATTGATTTCTGTTTTGGCATGAAGGACACAGAACGATGTTTTCTGCATTGTTTGTTCTCACAGGAGCTCGTCAATCTCCTGCTTTGCGGAGAAGCTGTTTCTAACGTATTTGATGATAATTTCGAACTTGACTCCGGTAATGGAAACACGACCATTCTGAAGGGAATTAAAGAACCTTGTGACATTGGGTTTCTGTCTTTGTTCGAGCATTACAACATCTGCAAGGTAAGCAGTGCACCGAGTGCTAATGCCAGAACAGGGTTTGCAGCAGTGGTACAATAGACATGTGCAATTGCATTTCTGTTTAGCAGGCCATTCTTATGGATATTATATATCAAGGAAAACCCACATGCATATCACGATACCACACAGTATATAGGATGGCTGTCGTCTTGGTTTAGGTCCCATGATGCACTGAATGTGGCATCAGATATGTGCAGGTGACATTAAGTGAGAGTTTTAGTTTATATAATCGATTTCTATTGTATAAAGTGTGGTGACCTATTAAATGCAAAAATCAATTCTCACTAACATCCTGAGATGAAATCTAGTTGTTAATGAATGTCCTGTTGAATCACCCAGAATCTACTTTCATATAACAGTTATATATTTTCAAAATATATAATTAAAAGGCAGTGTCTTCTGCTGGTTGAATGCACTTATGTTATGTAGCCTTGTAAAGATTGACGCTCCACATCTTTGTAAATGCAAGCCAGTAAAATAGCAATTGGCCACTTTACAATGGAATGCCCTCCTTGCAGACTTTACCACCAGATTAACCATTCCTCCAGGTTGGGACTTACCTGAAGACTCCCAGATTCCCCATCTGGGTGGTATGTAGTGAAAGCCACTTCAGCGTGCTTTTCTGTACACGGAAGGAACTGATAACTGACTCGACCATGGAGAGGAAGTTTGATCTGTACTACTATGATGGCCTAGCCAATCAGCAAGAAGAAATCCGGCTTACCATCTGTAAGGATGAATCATGTTTTTATTCTGAATAACTGCATTATACCTTGATTTATAGTCATTTTGGGCTTATCCTTAACTGGAACGAGAATGTTGGAACAAGATATGGGGCAATAAAATAAAAGATAGGCAGATCACAAGGCCACAAAGGAATGGTTTTCGTGAATAAGAAGATAATCCAGTCAAAGCAAGTGGTCTCTATGAAATTGAATAAATAAATTAAGGGACAAGACAGTCTGATAATAATTGCCATAATTGGTAGCTACTTGCATGAATAGAGATGCAGGTTTCTTTTGTCTTGCATTTAACAAAATAATAAGTTTGCAAGAGTGAAGACAAGCATGTCACTACCATGAAACTCGCAACTGCCATGGAACTGTGGGAGATAATGCTTTTAGATTACCATTGTTCGAGGATTTTTCTTAAATTTCCTTCTCAAAATATATTTTTGATGGTCTGCTTTTACCCAAATGTGTGTGTTATGATCCAGCCATGGCAACAGATAAGGTCTACATTCAATTCATCACTTTAGCTAGAGTTAGCATCCTGTACTTAATTGTCATCTTTTTTTTTAAATAAATAGCTTATTCCTTCTGAAGCGTGTGACATTAACAGGACTGTAAATTTCAGTCACAGGGTCACCCAGGAGTGGCTCTGAAGATGCTGACGTGGATCTAATGCCGCCACTGGAACACTGCATTAGGACGAAGTGAGTAAAGCCACTCCTGCTAAACCTAACCCTAACCCTATCCCTAACCCTTTTTAACGCTCCTTACTAACCCAACCCACAGCGCAGGCATTTTCACACTTTATCATTTCATGACTTTAAGACTTTGCATATGTTATTGTGTTAGTAAAGTCTAAATATCTTTGTTGATCATTAAAGATCTCAATAAATCAAGAAAATCTGATATCACTTAAAAAATGGTCAAGCACAGTTGATTGAAGATAATTGACTGTTTTTTTTATATACTCACTTTATTTTTGTATATACTCACAGTTGTTTTTTTTAAGACTTATATGACTAAGAGATTGTTTTTTGCCAAAAGATGAGCAAGGTGAATTTTAACCAGAAGCTATTTCTGCCCTTAGATGGAAGGATGCCGTTGTCGACTGGAATGAGACAGAACCTATACTATAATTTTCTGCTGAATTAAACTCCAAGCTGCCACCGGTGTAATTGGAAAATTTTAAAGACTTAAATTATGTTTATGCTTTGCCATTTTTCCAGTGGCATTGCCTTAATCTCATCATCTGAAACCTACTACCATGCAACCCCGTTGTGTCCCATTTTCCAAATGGTTTGTTTTCAAGATAGCAGCTAAGCTGTTAAGGACCACTGGCATCTCTAAGTATGGTTGTTACGTTTGGGATGTCCCAAGTGCTGCTCTTGTGCTCCATGGACAAATTACTCCTGTGCCATTTGATAAAATTTATTATGTTTGGATTAAATTTCAACTGAACAGCTATACAATATAACCATTGAAATTTTGGAATTTCCATATTCTTTTATGCATAACTACAATGCAATGTGTTGGTTTTTTAATTTCATAAATGTAAAATGTTTCCTTCATTGTTTGCCTTAGCAAAAAAAAAAAACAATGAATTTTGATGAAAATTGTTCTGTGGTTTTTACAAACCTTCTGTCAGTACCTTTATTCACCAGAGCTATTCGTCCTAATTTCTGCATCTTGTTGACTTTGTTCCTGGTCTTGGCTACCTGTATATTATAAATGTCATTTCTGCAGGCCAGTCAAATCTTATTTCACCTCAAATCCTGCCATGAACAGAAGTTCTAAAGTTTTTCGTTTTAATTGACTTTGAATGGAAAATCTCCATTCTATGTGCTGTTGCCCTGTGAAAATCTTTCAAAAAAACTGCCTATAATGTGTAAATGTGTTTGTGCTGTGTAAACCAACCTACCTACCCACCCACCCTTTCGCTCGCTCTCCCAACTCATATGATTTAAGTTTTCTTTAAACCCCATCATATGCAGAGGTCAGTGGCTGCCCTAAGTATTATTAGTTACCATATAAGTTGTTCTGCCCAGTGACTTATGAGTACAGTATGATACCCTGTGTTTTTACTTCTTTCCTTTTTTAAGACACTCCCCCCCCCCTATTGCACCCTCCGGTATATAAATTCTCCTCGAGAGGATTACTCACTAGAGACAGTGGAGGGAACTCCCAAGGACACAGTCATGAGTAAAGAGCTGCGGAGTAAGACGTTCTGGAGGGCTGTCTTTGCCGAGCTGCTGGGTATGACCCTGTTCATATTCCTCAGCATTGCTGCTGCCATAGGAAACCAAAACAAAGATGGTCCTGACCAGGAGGTCAAGGTGGCCCTCTCTTTCGGCCTGGCTATAGCAACCTTAAACCAGAGCCTGGGCCATGTGAGCGGCGCCCACCTGAATCCGGCTGTCACCTTGGGGCTGCTAACGAGCTGCCAGATAAGCATCCTGAGGGCCGTGATGTACATCCTGGCACAGATGCTGGGGGCGACCGTGGCCAGTGGCGTTGTTTACGGAGTTAGACCCAGCAACGTCAGCGGACTGGCCGTCAACACCGTGAGTATGGCAGCTTTCCACTTTATTCAAATGGCAGATTTTTATTGGCTAGAAGAAGAAACAAATGAATCAGTTTCTGACTTACGGTGGTTTGTTTTTAGACAGGTGTCAAATTAGAACCTTAAATTCTACATTTCTTATGCATTATAAACTGAATGACTCTCATAAAGGACATTTCATGTTGTTGGCACTATGCTGGGGAATATTAATCTTCAAAGTACGTATCTGCATCAGATTAAAATGAAATAAGTTTTCGCTTATCATCTTGCTTTCTAGTGAGACACATATACAGGTGAGAGCAAGGTTTGTGGTTAGCGCACAGGCCATTTAAACAGCACCCCTGGAGCAGATTTGGGGTTAAGTGCCTCGCCCAAGGGCCCCAATGTGATTGGATCACTGCTGGCCATGAAACAGGCCTAAACCACATAGCCGGCCACTGCCCCAAATGGAATCGTGTTTCCTCTCAGCTAATGTGATAACCACTGTACTCTGAAAACCAAGGAGAAGTATCAGAAACCCATTATGTTCTGGCCTAGTAAATAATTTACTGTTTCCTTTTTTGCAGCTAAACAGAATCACCCCAACCCAAGGCATTGGCATTGAGCTACTGGCCACCTTCCAGCTGGTCCTGTGTGTCATAGCATCTACCGATAAGAGGCAGCTTGGCGCGGGGATCGTGGTCCCGCTGGCAGTCGGCCTTTCAGTATGCCTCGGACACCTGGCTGCAGTACGTGTGTTAGAGACCCGCAGAGAGTAATATTAGCTTGTTGATATTGGCCAAATATTACACCAGGCTTACATCATCAGTCTAATTTTCCAACAATCAGTACAATGCAAAATCAATCCACTGTAGTTCATAGCATAACGCAAGTACACTTCTACACAGTGACCTTATTTCAGGCAGGTAGCTGAGGTTGTGACCTTCCTGTTTCGCTCCTTCCCCAGGTCAGCTACACAGGTTGTGGTATAAATCCTGCCCGTTCCTTTGGTCCAGCTGTTGTTACGGGCAACTTTGAAAACCACTGGGTAGGTGATATTTTCCATAAATAAAGAAAAAATAAAAAGAAATTTATTGGTCACTTTCTCCCTTCAATAAAGGACTGTTAACAAACAGGCACATATGTATAACACAACATGCAGTATTTTACATTTCCGTGAATGTCACATTAGAGCTTACTGATGTTTGATGTTGGGTTTTACAAGACTTATAAACTCAACATGAGTAGGAATTGGGCAGTGATACATTTCCACTCTCGTTTATGGTACAATGGCCATTTTGGTTAAAAATACAAAGAGTATATCCAGGAAGGATACGACCCCTTTGCAAGTACCAGTTCCGTTATGTATGGTTCCACTCTTTGGGTACCAAAAATAATTGAAACTACTGGAATTATGTATCAAGTTACATATCCTTGACAATGTACGGAGTCTCTCAAAAGTCATAATCTAACAGTGAGTAGCTATCATCAGTTCCTGCTTATTTGCAGTCACTTTGACCTTCAGTGCACCAGTTGTCCTGCATTATGTAATTAATTGTAAATGTGTGCTAGCTATTCGTTGCGGCCTGTTAATACCCAGCCGTGCTGTTCTGGTCTCAGGTGTACTGGGTGGGGCCTCTGTGTGGAGGTGTCATGGCTGCCCTCGTTTACGACCTTGTCCTATGCCCCAAACTTCATTTGTCTGACCGTGTGACGGTTCTGCTCAGTGGTCGAGGTGGGGAGTGCAGCATCACCAAGCCAGAAGAAATGGCTGAAATTGAAGTGCCATCCAAGGTCTGAAATATCTTAAAGTGCCGTATTATAATCTATGTATTAGCATCATGTGATAGTCATGCTTTATTATGTACTTTGGAATTCGGGGGTTAAGAGCCTTGCTCAAGGGCCCAATGGAAAAGTGTCTATTCAGCTGAGGACGGGATTCAAACCAGCAACCTTCCAATCAGGGGCACAGAAACCTAATCACATAATCACACACAACAGTACGACAGGTTGAACTGGTTTAAAACAAGTAAATGATTTTGCAGTATGTTATATATATGCGCAACCCTCAGTGGATAATTTGTTATTGAAAATACAGGGATTACTCCATTTGTGTATTTACTTAGGTTGCAAAAAATAAGTAATAATTTGGTTTCTATGTTACTTGTGCAGTAAATTTGTTTGTTACCTGCAAATTTCTTGTTGGTTTCTGTCAGTACGCATTATGTATTATACTTTGGAACACAACATTCTTGCATTATGGCACATTTGACTTGAAAAGAAATGAAGATCTCTGTGATCTGTTCCAGTTTATAATTCACCGCTTGTGTTATGGAGCGGACATATGAAGTGTATATTGTGTATGATGAAATGATGAAAGTGTGCCACTTGAATAACTGATTTGAAATGCAATCAAATGCAATCAAACACCCTTAATCAGTTTCAAATATAATAAGGAAAAACATAAGGTACATGCAAACAGACATTGTTCCTCATCAAGGTTATAATCTGGAGACAGTAGGGCCCACCAAATCCTTCTCCGTCCAAAACTTATTACATAGATGTATTACATAGATGTATTCATGCATCACAGGTGCACTCAGTAAATGAGTAGCTTGGATTACTCAAACCAGCAAAGAATCTGGTTTAACGCTTAACACTTAATGCTAATGTTCATGAAACACACATTACAGCAACTTAGACTGATTTCCCTTAAGAAGCCATGTTTCTCTGGGCTGCTTGTGGAAGTTTGATTAGCAAAATGACCTTCCGGCTTGCAAAAGCATTTCACTCCACTATACTACTACAAAGACAATTGTGAGGTTCCAGCTTGAAACAAATTACTTTTTGCTAATGTGCAGATATACTCCAGGCTCTGGGGCTTTATGATAGCCACATGCTAACAGCATTGTCACAGCTCTTACTCTGGTTCATTTCCACTGGAAATATAGCAGTCAGATACACTTATAGGGTTTAGTGCACATGAACTGTGTCTATAAAGGAGTTACTTTTCTGTTGTTTTTCTCTAAAAATGCTGAGCATTTTAACAGGACTACCAGTGTGTTTTCTAGTTTTGTTTTGTAGCTGTTGACAAAGAATGTTATAAACCTTGTTTGAACCATATTGAGTTATAGTTGTGTATATAACATATATATATATAAGCTCTCTACAGGGGTTTGTGGTGATACATTACAACATTATAGAGAGAGAGTTAAACAAAAACTGGGAATAGAAAGAAAATAAAATGAAAGAAAGAAAGCCAGATGACAACGGAGGAGCGGAACCAAAAACCCCTGGGGGTCCAAGGTCAACTGGCTACCCAACCCCCCCGCCCCGCCCCAAACATTCTAACATTATAGGAAAAACAAAGGTGTAGACTGTCATTAAGTCAAGCCAATGTCCATCAATGGCTCGATTCTCTATGCCGGCTTGTGCAGGGTGCTAATTGAAGTCTGCACCCACAATGTAACACTTCGTAAGTCACATCCACAATGTCACCCCTCCATGGGACTGAAGCAGGTCTCCAGCTCAGATGGTGCCCACCCCGGACAATATAGGGGCCTGTAGCAGAATGCTTTACTGCCAATTGTCACTTTATATGTGGAATGACAAGGAAACCTGCATTCTATGATCTGAGTGGACAATGCAGCTTGTAAACTAGAACTACTTCTGTCAGGTAGGCAGGTGTTAGACCTTTAAGTGCCTTATATGTAAGTAGGAGAACTATGAAGTCAGTCCTGAACCTAACAGGAAGCCAGTGCAGGGAACTACGAACAGGGGTTATGTGTTCGAACTTTCTGCCTCGGCTGCTGCATTTTGAATGCGCTGTAAGGTGTTTAATGTGCGGTTTGTGCTGTCAGATAACAGAGCATTACTGTAGTCTAAGCTACTGTATACAAAAATCAAAACCAATTTCAGAAAAATACATTTAAATTCTAATATTTGTATGCATTTAGACAATATTCACCCCATAAATCATCAACAATCTCAAAAGAACCTAAAAATGTTGTGATCTAAATACTGTACAGAGTTGACAGTTTTCCTAAAACAAAAATCTGAAAAAATATGATGTATAAATAAAAATACACATATATGCAAAAATACATATAGAACATCTCAATAAATAATTCTTAAAATCAGCTTTCCCGATGAAAACACCAAGGGTATGATTACCGTCTATTTTTCAGTATAAAGCAAGATGTTTCTAATTAGGTAAGAACAACATGCATTGTCCAATAAAAAAGACGCAATCCTTCGATTTTATTCGTCTTTAGTGCCATCTGTCGGTCTTAAGTCAAACTGTAACTGATCGCCTTGTTATTTAACTATGGGTGTTGTGCTCGAAACTGCACCCCTGCCGCGGATCGCCTTCCCTGACGTAATCGCTACAATGAATAGTGAAAATTAGCTGACTTCTGATTACTTTTGTTGTTTGGTTCGATGTCCTGGTGTCCTCATTTACATGTGTTACAGTGCCGAGTATGAAGCTAATTGCCGCATTATAGGTCTGAAAAGAATATAAAATAGGAAAAATATTGAAGCAGAATGACTTCAACAAAGTGTCAAAAATATTATTCAAGTAAATGAATCGCTTCTTGTGACTGGAGGCGACTGTATTTGCACAAACGAGCGTTGTCGAAAAGAAAAGCTTTAATGTCGCGTTTGAATGAGTAACTGCACATTTTAGCATTTTACAGGAAGTTATTAATCTTAACTTAATGTTTGATTGTAAAATACTATAATAAACAAGTAATGTGAGGTTTAGAACACAAAACCTATTCACATATTAAAATATATTTTAAAAAACTGTATTTGGTGGAATAAAAGTTTACCAAGTTAGCGAATACTATTTAGTGGGATAGTAAACGAGAATGGTTAACGAGGCTCTCCATTCATGCTCATTTATTAGTAACTAGCCGAGGACATTCCATCACTCTTATATTGCTGTTATATGTAGACTGAAGGTAAATCACTGAAGGTAAAATTCTCCTTAATAATTAACTCAAAATCTTTAAATGTAATTTACTCTAACTTGGTGAGAAATTACACTTCCATTTAATATCACCCTGGGTTATTTAACCCTAGTCTATCAGGAAAACACGTTTACTTCATTTCTGATATTCGCTAAAGCTTCCTGTTCTACATATCGTGTTAATGTCCCCAGTTATAAAAAGGAGATATTATGTTTGTAACAGCGGCAGGAAACTGTCAACAGTTCACATATACGTGCTGTATTTCTTTTAAAATTGAACATATATGTTGCAAAGTAGTGAAGTGCGTAATTGATAAGGAAACATGCACCTGTATACATTACAAAATAATAATGCAATAAATGCATGCGGTATATTACAGTGATATGTTACCGATGCTGTTAATAATGTAGCATCAGTGATAAAGTTCCTTTAAAATGATTTTATTTTCAGTATTTTAAAGTCTATACGACACTGTGAAGCAATAATAAGAATAGCAGAAACAGTGGACTTCAGAGGACATATGATTTGTGTGCCGTATGTGCGACAGCTCAGTAGATAAATAATGATCGACCTTACAGCCGGCCAGTTTATCTAACGGACAATACACATGGTTCATTAAACTTAAGCAATTCCATTGCTCCCTATCTCATTTACAACAAACTGATTTTTCCTCCAGTGTATTACATTCACCTCCTATCCTCACACCTTACTCAAAACATCCACCTCTTCCCATTTCCTTAAATGTATAAATATTAAGACATTTACAGGTATGGCAGTGTAATTCATGCTCTGTAGATGTTCTCCCTGGATGCAGATGGCATCCTGTCAAAGGCGAGAGAGAGGAAGTATAGTCTGACACGACTGACACTGACAGCAGTGTAATTTAAATCTAGCTAAAATAGAGTAAAATTGTTGATCTTCAGTGTAGATATAAATACTGGGATCAATAATATCTTGTGCTGTGCCTGTTTTATCTGTTGGAACACCAAAGTACAAATCAGAATATATTTTCCTATCTGTCTCCCCATCCTTTATGCAGAATTGCGTACAGCAGGCTCGCGTTCCTCTATTATGTGCTGTGTGTCTGCAGGGCACTGCTATGCTAGTTATCCAGATAGCTGTCAGCAGCTAATGAGCCTTTGTGGGCCTGTCAGGAGCCCCCTGTCAAGCAGACATGAATCTGTAAGTAAATAAGTAAGTAATATAACAAAGGGCAAACCTGAACTGGGGGGGGGGGAGGAAATTTTGGAAATTAGATAAATATGCGTTTTTTGCATATAGGTGTCGCTAAAACATTATGAAATGTGTCACTTTTGATTTAATATCTTCCTAAAATGTAACAGAAGCACTATTTCTGTAATATACATTGACTGGATATCTGTAGATGATTGGATTGAGGTAGATATACAGTATACTGATGGTATAAATTGCCAGTGCTTTAAAAATAGTAATTTTTAGCTGACGGACTGTGTTGTGGCTCAGCATTGGTGTAGCCTTGCACCTTTAGGTTGTGGGTTCATTTCCACTGCTGTTTTTGTGTGTTCCTCCAGCGTTCACAATCTGAAGTGCACTGCTATAGCGAAATGGAGTCCCTAAAGTGTGTCTCGAATGGCATTCTGTCTGGTACAAACTCTCCATGCCCAATCCATGCAAGGTAGTTAAATGATCACTGTGACGCTAAAGTGGATGAGTGTAGACATAAATTAACTTAACAGAGGGCCTAGTCTGGCATCAGCGTGGACATTCAGGCGTTGTGGATTTAACTAACCATCCCATTTCCCCTGGGGGGGGGGGGGGGTGATGTTTGCCCTAGGGTAAAGCCTAGAACAGCCTATGCATGAATCCACCCCTGGATGAGTGGCTGTGTGAAACCAATGAATCTGAAGTATTAGCCAAGGTATGCACAGGACCGGGCCATAGGTGGTGATTGGCCCCCAGAGTGCCCCCTCCCTGTCACTGGTTCAAAACATATTATTGGCTAATGATAAGGTTGGCATATGTGGATTACATATGACCCCTCTTATGCCCCCCACCTTAAGAAATCTTACAAGAGTATTTATGTATTCCACGTAATAAATAAGAATTACACTTCTCATTTAGTTTCAGTCTTATTCTCACACTGGTTTCCAGTTATGTACTTACCCTTTTCAAAATCACCCAGAAAAATAAAAGCATTAATAATGCGCAGCTTGTGCTCTGTGATTATTTATGATGTAATTATTTAGTCATTTCTATGTACTGATCCCTTTAAATACACTTACCATATTCACAGGATTTAAGTGCTTTCTTTTTTCTGCATGAAATGAGCTGCAATATACCTTAAGCATTAGTGTTTCCCATCAAAACAACACACTTATTTACTGCTAAAAAAAAAAGCATTAATTTGCCCCACAATTTCAATATCACAAGCAAGGCGACACTAGCTATTCTATGACTGATCATCCCATCCTCAAGAGGAATTCTGGGAGTTTTGATATAAAGTCACAGGACTATACTCATCAAAGAGCTAAAAGCATGTTGGAAAGTGATGTACCTTATGCTCTTATTTAGAGACCTGCATTTCTAATGACGAACGTACTTGAGTAGCACAGTCAAGTGTAAAAATTAGATATAACTCTTCATAGCTAGTTGTATGCCTGCATTTCTATTCGGCGATGAAACCTATGCATTCAACACGATATGGGTTAAACAGTTAAACAAGTGATCCACTCATTACTCTGCCACAACAGACTAGAATAGTGAGAAGAGGCGTGAAAGCTCTAGAAGGTTGATTTTGTAAGTGTGATCTGCCACAGGGAGTCACAGATCGTACCGTGTGAGGTCAGCTTGACTGGGCAGCCTCTGACTGTCATTTGACCTCCCACAGTATATTAGTTTCTCACAGATTATTACACCCACAAAACCTGAGCCTTCAATCACAAAACAGCAGTGTGGGTTCCCATCTTACAGACACAGAAGAAGATCCATAGAGTTTCATCTGGAAGCGAATGAGATGGCTTTGAGGTCTGTGAGTGGGCTGAGGAGCTCTCTGTCACCTGTCTGGAAGGTCACGGACAACTCTCCTTCTTTCTCAGTTCCGGCACTGTCATCTGATTCACACAGAGACTCTTTATAAATGATTTATGCTCTCTGTTTAGTCTGTGTCCTCTTGGCCACAGAGGAAACTTTGCAGAAGCTTTTGATAAGGAGACTAAATATTTACTTGGGACGTGCAGGACTGCAAGCCTCAAGGTCTTTGCTCAGGGGCACTAAACACTTCTTCAGTTGTTTGGATGTCAAAGAAAAGCTTCTTGTGACACAGCACTGAATAGACACACTAATAACAGTCATCACATTTAATTATGTTTTGTAATGATTCAGCTCTTCCAAAGTATTTAAATGGCATTACCTGTTTGGCAAAATACATATCAGTATAAATGAGTCAATCACATGTTTTACTGGAATCAGTGTTAGCAATGGAATAATCCCTGAGTGATTCTCCTTTTCTCTGAAGATAATTTTTACAGGGTTCTCATTCTTCAGGTAAGGGCATGAAAATGTCTCTAATTTGTAACCATGCATTTTGTTTTATAAAACGGAGAAAAGAGCATTTGTGTTGCCTTAACATGTAGATTGTCTGTTTAGTATTAATAATGATCAATGACGCAAAATGAAGACACTTGCAGTTTGATTCCCATGTTAATATACAATTATGTTCTTTATTATTTGGTTGTATGGATAGACTGAGACTCATATGGAGAGGTCTGCTGTGTTGCTTGGATGGGGAACACAGACAGTCCCTCTTCCAGTGGGTCCTACTGGAATAGTAAATGATGGATTAATGAACCGAATGGACCGTAAATGAAAGAGGGGTAATGAGGGAATGTAAGGCAAATTCATTTTTAAAATGCCACTGCATTTTCCAAAGGCGAGTATTTATTCAATCATTCATTCAGAACTCAGAACTCACTTTATTAGCAGTGTATAAGGACAAAGCAGAATTGTTTATAGTCTGGTGCCAAACATGAAGTACAGGGCAAAAATTACAACACTTCCGGAGAAACATTTCACAAGACATAACCAGTATGTGAAAAATTAAATACAATAGATATTACAGATTAACAGAAAACAACAAGATTAACAGAGCACACAACATTAATGGAGCACACTCTGCAAGACATCTTCAGATAATAACATCAGAAGAAAAAAAACACAGTTGGTCAATGTTGAAGTACAAATTAAGCCAATAGAGGTGTTTGAACATGGGGGTTAAAAAGTCCGTCAAAGGAAAAAGCAAATGGTCCCTGGTTGAGTGAATGTTGCCTGGGCGGCGGGATTTCTGAGGTACTAGATGAGATTATTTAGGAGCAGCATGACTGCAGGAGAGAAGTTATGGAGATGTTTGCGAGGTCCAGATCGTGATGCCTGTGATTTTCTCAGCTGAGCGGACCACTTGTTGTAACCTGGTCTTGGAGAGAGTGGAGACAGCAGGCAACCGGCTAGTGATGGAGGACATCACAGCACTGTCAGTGAAGGCAAAGTAGAAGTTCAGTAGGATGAATTGCAGGATGTTGAGCTTCTTGAGTTGGTGTCGAAAGAACAGACAGATGCTGGGGGGACCAGCTTGCAGCGGAAAAGCGATGGAGCAATATTATAGAAGGCTGAGCTGATGTCCACAAATAGGATCCTGACATATGTGTTGAGGGAGTCAAGGGAACTGTTGGAGAAAGTTGTGAAGGAACAGGTTGATGCATCCTCCACGGAGTGATTCACCCCCACAGGCTCCATAACCTCTATCCAATACAGCATCAGAGTGAGTCTGCACCCAGGATGGGATGCCAGTCCATCGCACGGCACATTCTCACACACAGAATGGGCAACTTATGGGTGCCGACTAACTGCATATTTTTGGGCCATTTGTGGAAACCAACAGGGATAGAGGAGAACCTTTGTCCTATCCTGGAGGCTTAGTGGGTGGGTAACACTGTGGCCTCACACCAGAGTCCATGGGTTCGAGTCCCAGCCTCCCTGTTAACATGAGTTTCCCCAATGTCTGAAAAAGTTACTTAGGTGCACTGATACTATTAAAATGCTCACAGTGTGCGAGTCTCCAGGCTGCCATGAGGACCTGCACTGAATAAGTAGTTATGGAAGGTGGATGTAGTAACATTTAACAATGTATCAGACGTCATGGCATTTAGATGTGGAATTACACTAAATTCCAGGGGTGTAACGGTACACGGTGTATTATCGAAGCTTTTGGTACACGCCCAACGGGGCAATACACACATGTGAACTGCGGTATTACGATATGCCTGCCATTTTCCTATATGAACTGGTGCAAACATGAGACAGTGTCATGTCCCCCCACCCCACCCCCAAAAAAACACTGGGGTTGTCTTATTTTTGAGGGCTACAATTTAAATGTCATTATACAACAGCAATGATCTGCCCGCTGGCTATAGGCAGCCGCGTACTTCAAATGTACAGTAATCGACGTCGTTTCAGCAATACGAGGTTGTATGTGCGCTGATCCCACCCGCTGTGGACAATTGGCTGACATAGTGTGGTGCTGTGGGGCTGGTCAGCAGGACACCTGCTTTGTACTACATATTATCAGTGTATCTGTGTATTAATATCAGTGTATTTATGTTCATCGTAAATGTCATAACTGTGTAATGTTTGCTGTGGAATGAGTGCGTTTCATTTGCGTGTAACTGTGAGTGTCATGTAAACTGTTGGTGTCCTTGTCTGTGCCACTGCTAGCATTAAACTGATAGTTGCTGTTTATAAGGAGTGTATTTCATTTTTAAAGAATTGCCATCTGCTTTATTAAAACTACTCAACCAATGACCACAATGCAGTTTTTTGGCCCCTTTATGTGCGTCATTCTGAACTCTCTTGGGTCGTGGAGTTTGTAATATTGATTATCTATCTACGCTTACCGTGATGCGATTTCCTGTGTTTGCTTTTTAGTAGTGATATGCTTAACTTTGTATATGTTCTCATCAAATAAAATTATTTTTCTTTATGAAGATAAAGTATTTGGTATTCCAAAAGTTTTCTTCCAAAAATTAATACAATATTGCCTGTAGAGGTACTGTACATACTAGGTACACTGTTCATTTAAAATAGAATAGACAAAACAACTACAGGTTATCAAAGAAGGACTTTTAATTTAAATGTTTCTCTGTCCTTGATTTCATAAAGCAGACACATAAACTAGGCCTCGTTAGTCATGCTGGCATTTTTCTGAATGGAGTGTTGTTATATGGAAAAATAAAGAGTTCATTATTATATTACAGGGTGATGTGTTTTTATTTTCTTCTTAAATATAAAGATACCTAAACCATACCATTACTGTGGGACCATGAAACATACCAAACTGTGGGAAAACTGTATTGTTTCAAGATTACTAAATCCGTCAAATAACACTGCAATTTCAACTGCAATATAAAAGGACTGGACTAGACTTGTTTGTCCAGCACGTCCCTCAAATGCTCGATTGGACTGAGATCTGGGGAATTTGGAGGTCAAGTCAACACCTTGAATTGTCAATCATGTTCTCCAAACCATTACTAAATGATTTTTGCTGTGTGACTGGGCATCCTATCCTGTTCAGTGAGGCCACTGCCATTGGGGAATGCTATTGCCATCAAGGGATGTACTTGGTTTGCGGCAATGTTTAGGTAGGTGGCACCTGTCAGAGTAACATCCACATGGATGCTGGCCTCCGTCAGCTTGTCTTCATTCCATAGCGCATCCTGGCACCATCTCTTCTCCAGGTAAATGATGCACAAAACACCTGACCGTCCACACGATGTAACAGATAACGTGACTCCTCAGACCAGGCAACCTTCTTCCATTGCTACATGGTCCAGTTCTTATGCTCACATGCCCATTGTAGGTGATTTTTGTAGTGGTCAGGGGTCAGCCTGGGCTCTCTCACCGGTCTGTGGCTATACAGCCCAATTCGCAGAAAGCTGTGATGCACTGTGTGTTCTGACACCTTTCTATCATAACCAGCATTAACTTTTTCAGCAATTTACAACAGTATCTCTTCTGTGAGATCAGACCGGTCAGGATAGCTTTCACTCTACACGTGCATTAGTGAGCTTTGGGCACCCATGACCCTGTCCCTGGTTAACTGGTTGGCCTTCCTTGGACCACTTTTGGTAGGAACTGACCACTGAATGCTGGGAACACCCCATAAGACCTGCCGTTTTGGAGATGCCCTGAACCAGCTGTCTAGTCATCACAATCTGGCCCTTCTCAGAGTCCTTACGCTTGGCCATTATTCCAGCTTCCAACACATCAACCTCAAAAACTGACTGTTCATTTGCTTAATTTTAAAATAAATATTAAGGTACACAAAACAAACAAGAAGTACTGTAAAAGCTAATTATTAATTGTTATATCGTTTCACATCTTCAGTAATTTAAATTACACATTAAATATAAAGATGGTTTGCTTACTCCTTGGACCTACAATATTTTGAATGCAGCAACTTCCTTTGCTGTCAGTCGTTACCTCAGACTTTGTTTGAGGTAAAGGAGCTGATACGGTTTCACACTAAGGTGCTGAAGGAGTATAGAAGAGTTAAACTGGTACAACTGCAAACTTAAAGAAGCATTATTTGTGCAATGTTAATTTTCTCGTTAGCAAAGCTTTTACTGACAAATCGGTTATATTGTATTTCATGTACTTTAAATATATTTTGTAGAAAAACGTATTACAAATGTAGAAATTGCTACTTGCGCCACAGATTGTCAATATTTTACAATTTTTATGTCGTTCAGGCGTTAATATAAAGTTTATTTGCAAAATCTTCTTGACTTTGACGGTTAATGTAACATTATGTAAACTGTATGTGCATATTCCATGCGGTATGGACAAATTAGCATTGTACAGTATAATTTGTTCATTAATGCTGAGCATTAAACAAAAAAAAAAAGATCAGAAAAATCCTTTATTATAGTACAGTGAAAATAGATATAGTACAGTAAATGCCTTAGGTAGTTGCTGGTGAATCCTGATAAGCCCTCTGAAATGTACCTCTGACCCCATGCCTTATAGCAATCCAGTCTCAAACATGTTTGTAATAAATGGAATTTACTTTGGGGTGTCATGCAAAACGATCAAGGACAATCAAGACAATGAATATAATAAAATTACTACATTAATAAAGTTATGTGCCTAGTGCAGATAATGTACATGGAGAAAATTCAATCATTACAAGTAAATACCAGCAGGCTACACTGAAGGTAAGTCTTGAATGTTCTGCTTGAATTGATTGAACTTTTTGAACCTTAAGTCATCCACCGCAGTAAGTAAATTCCAGAAAACAGCCCATATTGCACATCAGGGTGCACTCAGCCCACCCCAAAGTATTTGTAAAAGCCATTAGGCAGATAAAACCCTGTAAATTACTTTTCGTCTTGTCAAGACCACTTGCAGCACCATCAGCTCCTCAGGGTTCCTAGAAGAATAGTGCTGCCTTCTCTCACTGCTCAGAACCATTGGTTATCGATGGTGCTTTTTAA